CCCCCCAAACATTCAGGCCCTTTACCTCCCAGTCTTTGGGATTACTGAACTCCTTCCTCTCTGTGGATTTGAGGAACTCCTCCAGGCTGACGAGCCGGTCTTTATTTGTGTCCACCTGTTAGACACAAGCAGGAAGTCGGCATCGGTCAAACAGAAGTGAGGAAAATGTGCCTGGACAGATTAACGAGACCCACGTTGTTCATGACGTGCTCCCTCATCCTCAGACGTTCTTCCTCCATCTCCATCATGTCGTCCTCCTCGTTCTTTGGGTCGTAGACCTTCTCCAGCTGACGAAGAACAAGTGTTTTATAAAACAAATCATTCATGCAAGAAGTTAAACAGTCTGAGATAAAAAAAAAAAACCTCTGACATACCTCCTTAGTGAAGAGTGCTTCTAACTCCTGCTCGTCTAAAACTCCATCTTCATTTGTATCTAAGTGAAGCAGAGAAAATAAATGAGCTTTTATCAAACTAAACTCATCACAACTAAATATAAGAAAACAGCAACTAAGAGGAGAGCGTTCTCACTCACCGTGCAGCTTGAAGAAAGTTTTAGGGTTGAACTCCTGAGGATCTAATCCATCCGTCTCCTCCCAAACTTCCCTCAGCTGAGCAACACTTCCCTGAATGATTAAGAAAAAAATATATATAAACATTATTAATAAGAAAAGATAAACGTAGAGGCACCGTCACCGACCGGGGCGTTGACTTTTGGGTGCTGGCGGTGTTTCTCTTTCATCTCCAGCAGCCTTTTCTCCTCCCTCTCCCTCTTCTCCTGGTCCAGACCCTTGAGGTACTCCCGCCTCTCGTGCTCCTTCAGCATCTCGTAGCGCTTGAACTCCTCATGTCGCTCAGCGTCATAATTTTCCAGATCCTTGGTGGCCTGAACAAGGAGCAGGTGACACAAAGGTTTGTCCAACTGGAATTCTCTGAAGCCTTAAAGTGAAGAATGGCGAGCGCAGATCGTATTTCTTCACAGCTGAAGTTTTGTACCGTTGAAATCAGCAGCTCGAGGTCTTTAGCCTCAAAGGTGTTTTGGTTGTGTGGATCCAGATGTTCAAACTGCTTCAGCAGAGAGGCGTGGTCCATCTGAAGGCCTGCAAGAGACACGTGAACAACAGAATACAACAATATGTTCAGCTCTTTACGCAAATAATCATGTTTTTATTTGTATAAATGCTTATTTTCTAGTTACTGACGCAAAATGAGGAGCACCAGGACTCGTCCATAATCATCCTCTTTTATCACTTTGCTTTAGATGTAACGATTACTTTCCGAGCGTTTCGTGAGAATTTTTTTTTAACGGTACAGACAAAAGAAAACAAAATCATTATCACTCCAGCTTTGCCTCCGGAGCAGCACTGTTTGAGGGAACAGATGCCATGAAGGGGGTGTGAAGCACGACGCACCACGATTCCTACCAAGACGGTGACAAAGTGAAATGACTTGCATAAAATTTGTTTCTTTCCTCTCATTTGTTTCTTACACTCATTAAGAAACAATAACTATTAAGCTAGTTAAAATCTTTATAAAATACAAGAATCTGTATTTGGTCATCTATTTGTGTTAGAACAGCAAATCAGAGCGTAAAATTATTTCAAATGTGTAATAAAAAATTATTCAGTGGCCTGAAGGAAAACAGTCTAATCTCTTTCACAAAACAATCAAAATTGGGATTTAGACGCCCTCTGGACGCCTCGGGGTGATTTCTGACTGGACTGAGGTGGTGGTGGTGGGGGGTGTCGAAGCAACTCATCACTGATGCACCTTTGTGCCGTGAATCGAGATAGTAACGGAGCCGAAACAAGCGACACGTGAAAAGATAGGCCGGCTTTAAAGCCCAGTAAAGTGATGAAGTGGCAACATACAAACTGTGGGACCACTCCATCGCTGGAATAAACAAAATACTGATTTTTTAAAATTTTTATCAGGGCAAGATTAATGATGCACAGCAACTTTGCATTTGGTTTAAAAAAAAAAAAAAAGAACCCCAAAGAGAATAACTAAACTGAGTAAATTCATGAAGTTTTGAAAACGATATGAGGGACACGTCTGCCACACATTTAATGCATTGAAGCTCCACGCCTCTTTTGGTTCTGTGAAGCTGCCTTCATTCCTGAAAGCTCATGTTCTTGCGGGCTCCATCAGGGCAGCATAATACAGACAGAACTGTTTAGTCGCAGACTCTTCTGACTCACTCTGCGTGTTTGTGCTGTCCAGTTTGGCTTTCAGCAGCATCCTGAGCCTAGAAACTTCTTGCCGCTTCAGCTCATCCAGTCGGGTCCTTACATGGTGACTGACCAGGTCCAGCTCTTTACTGAGACGCCCGTTCTGTTGGCCAACACAAAACAACCAGCAGTTTAGAGTAAAAAATAAATGCATGTTATAAAGAAAGCAAACTTATGACATATATAAAAAGATGTGGATCGGAGTATATAAGTAACTATAGTCTACCATACCATCCCATACCAATTTATTTATATAGCACTTAAAACAGCAACAAGGCCAACCAAAGTGCTGTACAAAAGAACCAAACATGCACAGCAGACAGGAAAACATAAAATAGAAATACAGATACAAATAGCAGCAGAAGCTAACTAAAATGGCCAACAGAGCAGAGAACAGACCGGACCAAAACAAATCACACCGTGTTAAAGGCAAGCGAATAGAAGTGGGTCTTCAAGCGAGACTTAAAGACTGAGAGTGTGGTCACTGAGAGAGTGTCATGAACAAATATGACAACTGGCAGCCTTATTGGGGTTCAGCTCCATTCCTGAATTTGTCTGACTTACTGCCAACAATGCAAACCAAACTCTGGCATTGCTTGTATAGGGACTGAACACCCCATATCAATGGACCCCCAATCCCATACTCGTAAAGCACCACTATATCTCAAGGAACATAGTTCAATACTTTCTACAAGTTCACAAAATACATGCAGATGGATTGTGCAAACTCCCATGCCCCCACTGATGACCCTAGTGAGGGTAATGATTTGGTTCATTGCTTCACGGCCTACACTCTTCTTCCAATGAGGTATGACCGTCAATTGCAATCTCTTCCCCAGCATACCTGAACAGACCTTACTGGAAAGGCTAAGGAGAGTGATGCCCCTGTAATTGGAGCACACCCTTAAGTCCCCCTTTCTGAAGAAGGGAGCCACTACCCCAGTCTGCCAATCCCGTGGCACTTCCCTCAATGTCCATACAAACTATGTCAACCAAGAGAGTTCCATGATGTTCAGAGCCTTGAAGAAATCAGAATTAATCTTATCCACTCTGGAGTCCTACCACTGCAGAGCTTTTTAACTAAGGTTGTTTTCACACCTGATAGTCCAGTAGACTCGGTTCGGTTGGGTACCAATATTCATGACATTTTGTTTACATTTGAGCTGGTGCATTTGGCTCGACTGCACTGTGCAGTGTGAATGCAACCTGTTGAACCAACCTGTTCCCCCGCTCGCCTGTGGGGGCGCTGCACCTAGAACTACTGAAAGAAACAACACAAAAACCTCTGAAGACACTTCTTCTTCTGGAAATAAAAACAAAAATGGAGTGGCATCAAGTTTTAGCAGTTTTAGGAGTTATATTTTGTCATTTTTCAACAATGGACTCAGCATGAGCAGAAGATGAGGCAGAAGACCATGGAGAATATTGTTTTTCACACAAGGCAGCTGACGGCTCCATATGAGGCCCGAGACCTAGGTTTTAGCCCGGGCCAGAGTTTGCCTTTTTGTTCTGTGACAGAGTTCGATGGCGCGTTCACACCTCCACAAACGAACCAAACTTTCTAGGAAAACGAGCTAGAGTTTGATTAAAGCGGACAAAAGAGGGCTGGTGTGAATGCACCCTAACTCTGTAGGGTTTCTGGGGTCTTGTCTTACATGTTGTTTTCCCTCATGTTTGCCTGTCACCCCTCAGCTTTTCTCCTCCTGTGTTCCAGCACTGTCGCACCTGTGTCTAATCCTAATCACCGCAGGTGTCACTCATTTCACCTTGTTAGTGTCTGTATATATTCAGCCCCTTGGTGTCTTGTTGGTGTCTCTGGATTGTCCTTGTCCTAAGGCTTCATGACCTGTCTCTCCTCGTGTCCTCCTTTAAGTAAGTTAGCTTCCCCATCAGCATTTTGTTTTGTTTATTTAATTAATAAACTATTTTACTTATTTACTGGAGCCTCATTCGTCTTCCTGCACTTTGGGTTCTACACACGGAAGCCAATCATGATAGAATCCATAGACCATACCGAACCCAGCAGGAAGATCACTCTTTTTGAGTTCCTGGCCCACGAGGCAGCGAAAACTGCTCGGCATGAGAAGGATGAGAGGAAAAAGACTGTACCTAGGTACTCGCCTGGCTTTTAAAGCTGGGTCTTTTGCCTCACCACCTTGCCTCTCTTCACCTTCTCACAGAGCGGCAGCTCCTCGCAACCCACCTCCTCCCCAACCACCTCCTGCTTTCCTGGAGCAGTCTTCAAAGGGAGGGTGGCAGTCTGCTCGGACTCACCGCAGGAGGAACGGGTGGCGGAACCGAGCCGGCTAAACCAAACTCCAGCACGTCCCTCCTCAGACGCAACGCAGTCCATGCCTGTGTGTTTCCCTTCGTGGGGGGGAGGACGTCGCACCTGTCGCTGGGGGGGAGGAAGCCGTACACCCCTGCATACCTGTCGCTGGGGGGAGGAACCCTGCAGCCCCAGCAATCTCTGGGGGAGGATGATCGCTGTGGAGGATGTCATCTCCAGGTACACCAGGGCTGACAACGCTGACAGCTCGCCTGAGATGTGGGAGCAGTTCCGGCGGGCATGGATGGAGAGGCGCGTGCTGCGCTCGCTTCTGCTGGCTCCTGCCGTTCCTGGTTCTTCTCTCAGCTCACCTCCAGCTGATCTCTATCCCACACCTCCAGCTGTACCTGTGTGGTCTTCCATGTCAGCAGATTCAGCCCTGGACCCGCTGGTCTCCGCACCAGCCCTGGACCCACTGGTATCCGCACCAGCCCTGAACCCGCTGGTCTCCGCACCAGCCCTGGACCCGCTGGTGTCCGCACCAGCCCTGGACTCGCTGGTCTCCGCACTAGCTCCTACCATGCTGGGTTCCGCCTCAGCACCTGAAACGCTGGTTCCCGCACCAGCTCCTACCTCGCTGGGTCCCTTACCAGCACCAAAGCTGGTCTTTGCACCAGCTCCTACCTCGCTGGGTCCCGTACCAGCACCAAAGCTGGTCTCTGCACCAGCTCCTACCTCTTTGGGTCCTGTGCCAGCACCAAGACTGGTTCCCATGCCAGCACCAAGACTGGTTCCCGTGTCAGCACCAAGACTGGTTCCCGTGCCAGCACCAAGACTGGTTCCCATGCCAGCACCAAGACTGGTTCCTGTGCCAGCACCAAGACTGTTTCCCGTGCCATCACCAAGACTGGTTCCCGTGCCAGCACCGGAGGTCCTCGCTCCTCCAGAGGCCCTCTCTCATCCAGAGGTCTTCGCTCCCGAGGCCCTCGCTCATCCAGAGGTCCTCGCTCTGGAGGCCCTCTCTCATCTACAGGTTCTCGCTCCTGAGGCCCTCGCTCATCCAGAGGTCCTGGCTCCCAAGGCCTTCGCTCCCGAGGCCCTCGCTCATCCAGAGGTCCTCACTCATCCAGAGGTCTTCGCTCATCCAAAGGTCTTCGCTCGAGAGGTCCTCGCTCCTCCAGAGGTCCTCGCTCATCCAGAGGTCTTTGCTCCCGAGGCCCTCGCTCAGCCAGAGGTCTTCGCTCGAGAGACCCTCGCTCTTCCAGAGGTCCTCGCTTATCCAGAGGTCTTCGCTCCTGAGGCCCTCACTCATCCAGAGGTCTTCGCTCGAGAGGCCCTCGCTTTTCCAGAAGTCCTCGCTCATCCTCAGGTCTTCGCTCAAGAGGTCCTCGCTCGTCCTGAGGTCTTCGCCCCCGAGGCCCTCGCTCATTCCCCAGAGGTCCTTGCCCATCCAGCCGCAGCTGTCCCAGGTGTCTCCTCACCGGCAGTTGTGGTCTCCCCACTGGCCATAAATGGGTGGTCTCCTGGCCGGCCGCCAGACCTCTGGCCTGCTGATGAATGGTCATCAGGTAGTCCCCCGGATCCTCTGTCCTGCCGTGGAAGGTCTCCTGACCGCTGACCTTGACTAAGGGGGGTTTAGGGTTTCTGAGTTTTCCCAGGATCCTACCTGTCGGCTTTTCATTTGTTCCTTCTGTGCCCTACTTTTGTCCTTTGGTGCTCTCCTTTGGGCTTTCAGGGGCCATCCCTTGAGAGAGGGGTCCTGTAGGGTTTCTGGGGTCTTGTCTTACATGTTGTATTTTCCCTCATGCTTGCCTGTCACCCCTCAGCTTTTCTCCTCCTGTGTTCCAGCACTGTCGCACCTGTGTCTAATCCTAATCACCGCAGGTGTCACTCATTTCACCTTGTTAGTGTCTGTATATATTCAGCCCCTTGGTGTCTTGTCGGTGTCTCTGGGTTGTCCTTGTCCTTAGGCTTCATGACCTGTCTCTCCTCGTGTCCTCCTTTAAGTAAGTTAGCTGCCCCATCAGCATTTTGTTTTGTTTATTTAATTAATAAACTATTTTACTTATTTACTGGAGCCTCATTTGTCTTCCTGCACTTTGGGTTCTACACACGGAAGCCGATCATGATAAACTCTGCAACCTCAGCCCCCTCAGTTATGGAAGGAACAAACACCAAGTCCTCTGACTCAGCTTGCTCAATGGTAGAAGTGCTGCTGGGATTGAGAAAGTATTAGATATTTTCTTTCTACTGCTTGACGACATGACTGGTTGATACACCAACCTGTTCTATCATGAGCTTTTAGAAATTAAGCAAGCATCGAGGAATGGAAGAAAACACTTCTTTGTGTAGCTTCAAGACATTGTGTATAGGGTAACTCCCTTATACATTTAATAAAACATAATTCAGTTTAGCAATTCATATTTGATTTTAGCAATGATATACAGGTATATAGCACCTTTCTATCTTATCAAGACACTCAAAGCACTTTACAACACAAGCTGTGCCCTCGTTTACCCATTCATACAGCACTCTACTAGATCTATACAAAAATAATCTGTGCTTTGCCACATTCATACACCGATGGGACACACAACGGAGGCAATGAGGGGTTCAGTGTCTTGCCCAGGGACATTTCAAAATGTGAATGCTGATGCATTCGAACCCTCAAATCTTGCATTGGAGGACAACTTTTCTAACCACTCAGCCACAGCCGCCCTCTCCATTTTCCGAACTTAAACTCTGTTAAAGTGACAAATCACAAATGTAGTAATAAATTTGTTTGTTGTTTTCTGTGTCCCTAAAATATGGTTCTGACTGCATCATGGCATCTGGCCAGATACTACCTTCTCAATAAAAGGCAGCAGAGAGCGATTTTTCCACCTACTCAAATGTCTGGTGCTGCCTATTCTGATTGACATTTTTTTTTTTCTTAGGAGTCAGTCGACATGCCAGCTTGTGATAGTCACATGACCAATTTCAGTTGTGCTAGTGGGAAACACATAGGCTCTCAGAGACTCCATTTTAGTTTGCCAAAAGTACATACTGTAAACTAAGCAACAGTTTTTAAATCATGTTGATAGGTCAAGTAAAACCAGAGTCATGATAAATAATCCATGCCACGTCTTTTTCTGAAATCTTTTTCATCATCACATCTGAAACGTGTTAGAGCAAGAGGCAGTGGCAAATATGGGCAGTCTTAGGGAGAAAACACCCCATCACCCTTCACTTTCACCTGCCACCCCCACCTAAAAGATAACCCTACCCCCTACTCTCCATTCTGACAAGGCTTTAAGTTATTTGTCAAGAGCCAAAAAAATCAACAGGAAAAAAAAATGATGCAGAAATTGAATGGAGTTTGTTGCGTGATCAACATTGCAAGAGTGGGAGTGAGTCATGAGGTTTGGGAGATTTGTGATATTTAGCGTGTTTTGGTTTTATAGTTAACATGTAATTTAGTGTGTTTAGTGTAGTTAGTTTTAGTATGCTTAAGTCAATACAATGAGATTATTTTTGAACGTGAGGAAGACAGAACTGCAGAACAGCTTCTACCCTGAGGCTGTTAGACTCATGAATCTCAAACCAAAAAAATCACTGTGAAAATATCACATCATGAAGCTGCTGATTGTTTCATGCTGCTGTGTTCATTCGTACTCATCTCCTCACACAGACTCATGTTCGTGCTGCTGTTCAGCGTATTGTTTTTGTACTACTAGTGCTTAGTGTATTTTTATTTAACATTTTCTTAGTTCATATTTTAGATCTTATTCTGTTTTTCTTTTACATTTTATACTTTTGTTGGCTGTAACTGGGACGCTGTGTGGTGCATATGACAAATAAAGAACCTTGTATCCTTGAACAAGCTATTTTAATGGAACGCGCTGCTTGCGTCGGCTTTTATAGATGCTGCAACTTTCCTTACCGCAAATGACAACAGGGTGCAGAGCAGGACGTGCACGGCCGATGATTCAGTTGTCCATCTGAAGCTTAACGCAACTTTATTTTTTATTTTTTTATGTCTTTCAACCAGCTGGTCAGAGGACACGCACAGCCGATAATCTGATGGACAAACTGAACCTTAACACAACATTTTTTAGCTCTTTCAAATGGCCAGCCAGTCGTGAGCATGTACCTGACCTGACACACATCAGCAGGTTTCACTGTGCTGGCTTTGTAGAGTGAGTTCTCCCATTTTTTGGCTTTTGTTTAATACTTTACAGCTCCATTAAGTCACTTGTGGGTCTATTGCAAATCCTCAGATGTGTGATATGAGCAAAGTGTGGGTATGGCCACATGTGCAATTATAACTGCACAAAAAGCCTGAGCCCGCCCATAAAGCACATAATTTTGGCCCGACCCAGCCCAAATTTCTGGTCAGATCGGGTCGGGCATGGGCTTGGGCCAGAAATTGCAACTCTAGTCCACAACCCCTCTGAATGGGCCAACAGAACCAGTTCTGAGCTCTGGAGAACAGAAGAGGATGTGGATGTTGACCCAGAGGGTGTATTAACGCAACAAAATCCCCTTTTTCAATTAAATTATCCTAAAATAAACATTTTGCCAATTTTAAAAAATCCCAGTAGTGCAGTTTTTTTAATCAAACAAACAGAACAAACAAACAAAAAAAATTAAAGCATTAAAATCAAAATAAATAATTTAAAATTGAGATTTTTTTTTATATTTCAGGCTGAGACTGTTCTAAAAGACTGACTAGTTGGGGTTTTTTTGCAGAAAAGTATTTATAAGTAGTATTTTGAAGCAGTTAAATGAAGTGGATGAGTTTTCCCTGAGGAACATGAATAATCCTAAAGTTATAGGGTTAAAACCGTCTTATTCACAATATGATGCTTTTGATGTCATTCAGATTTTATGATTTTGTCTGTAGTTAGAGAAAACAAAGTGACGTTTGAGCTGCATTCATTCAGCTGGGACTGTTGCAAGATGAAGAATAGAGATAAATTCATTGTGAAATAATTCTTTATTAGATTCTTGAACATGTATGTTATCATGCTCTACAAATTGATTGACAGCCGCTGTTGATTATGACTTCATACCTCTTATCATGCTTGTAATGCTGGTAAGAC